TGAGAGTTTCAAAAAACTATTTTTTTTTTACAAAGTTTGTTTGTTTCCATTATTGTGGTTTAATGATGTTTTTATTTGAACCCTGTTGATAAAGTGAAGTGTTTTAGAAACTGATAAATATCTGATGTTTTACTAAACACACATTATATTGTATACATACGGGTGAGGATGTCTCACCCAGACTGACGGAGGGTGAGGGTGTCTCACCCAGACTGATGCAGGGTGAGGGTGTCTCACCCCGGTGTCCTGTGTCACAGCCGTTGTGATTATTGAAGGATGAATCTCCATCAGGAAACCACAGAGACACAGGACGCTCAGGTCTCTGCTCTGTCTTTGGTCTGCTCTGTCAATCTTCTGGAAAGTTCAAATCCCACCGACTGAAATGTTTTAGAAAACAGACAAGGACTGGGTCAGAGGTCAGAGGGTCAGAGGGTTAGAGGCCTTTAGTTTTTCAACCCATTTACCAACTTTTTTTTTAAAAAAAGTAGTACTATAAAATTTAATCTGTGGGATTATTGTCACCTTGGATTAAATTGAGGACAAACCTGTGGAGAGGACACCAGACAGGGTCTGTGTGTGTGCGTGTGCTGAGTGATCGCCGCACTGGGGGTATCTGTGACATGTATGTTGGGTATGTAAACCCAGTCTGACCTGACACTCTCTCTCACACACACACAGTCACTGCTTTTCATCTCTGATAATTTTTAAAAGCATTAAAACATTTTTTATGTTGGCTGAAAAGATTCTAAAGTGAAGACATTTCTCACCTGTCGTCACCAACGTCCTGATGAAGCCGCACGGACACACGACACAAGACGCATCATCAGAGGACACAACGACTGCAGGCAGGTCCGTGAGCCGACAGTTGACTGGTTTCTTCACTGTCTTCATCAGGACCTGGAAGATTCTGGTCTGGGAACTGAACTAAGACCGTGGGTCACACCCAGAAGTACATGGACAACACAGGAAACAGAGGAAATCAACTTCCTGTTGCAGTGCTGATTTAAATCCAACTGTCTGCACAAACATGTCCAGAAAACCTGTTTTATAATTTTATCGTCCTAAAGAATAAACATGGACACACCAAGACTTCAACCTCTGAGTAAGAGGGAAAGGCACAGTTTGTGTCTGGCTCTGGGCTCTAATCAGGTTACATGATTAGTGGGGGGGGGGTGAGATGGGTTCATGTTGTATTAAGAAAAAGTGTGTTTGAACCCAAAGTGCTGGTTTCAGCGGCTCTAATGCATCAGCCATCGACTGGACACCTGAGATCCAGAAAGAGCAGCACTGTTAGCTCCGTCCCAGTGGAGCGACGCTGGTCCACTTCTCCTAACAGTGCCCCCCCCCTCCTCTTCCTGTTTGTCTTTTTATTCCTCTCTCAGTCTTCATGTCTTTGCTGCTTATGATGAAAAAAATAAATAAAAAATTGTATCCTTTCTGCATGTTTCTAATCAAATTAGAGCACTTTTTAAAAATACATTTTTTTAAATACAAAATTTCTTGAAATAATTTTTTTTCAAATTTAACTGTCAAACAGCAATAATGAGGATCTGAGGAGTGTCCTCCCTGTCCTGACCATGAGGTGACCACAGATGTGGGACCTAATGAACTGGGCTTGGAGTCTTTTTTTTCAAGATTTTTTTTTTTTTTAAAAATTTTTTTTTTTCAAAAGAATTTTCAAGAAATTAAAAATTTTTTTTTTTAATTTTTTTGAAAAAAAAAAATTTTTAATTTCTTGAAAATTCTTTTGAAAAAAATTTTTTTTAATTTCTTGAAAATTCTTTTGAAAAAAATTTCTCGAAATTTTTTTTAAAAAAAATTTCGAGAAATTTTTTTCAAAAAAATTAAAAAAAAAAAAAATCTTGAAAAAAAAGACTCCAAGTCCAGTTCATTAGGTCCCACATCTGTGGTCACCTCATGGTCAGGACAGTGAGGACACTCCTCAGATCCTCATTATTGCTGTTTGACAAGGACTGGGCCAGACTGGGTCCCTGTGACTTCTGACCCAGGGACCCTCAGTCAGTTCAGAGGGTCCCCGAATTTCTGACCCAGTCTTTTTTTTTTTCAAAAAAATTAAAAAAAAAAAAAATCTTGAAAAAAAAGACTCCAAGTCCAGTTCATCAGGTCCCACATCTGTGGTCACCTCATGGTCAGGACAGTGAGGACACTCCTCAGATCCTCATTATTGCTGTTTGACAAGGACTGGGCCAGACTGGGTCCCTGTGACTTCTGCCCCAGGGACCCTCAGTCAGTTCAGAGGGTCCCCGAATTTCTGACCCAGTTTTTTTTTTTTTTTAAAAAAAAAAAAAAAATCTTGAAAAAAAAGACTCAAAGTCCAGTTCATGAGGTCCCACATCTGTGGTCACCTCATGGTCAGGATAGTGAGGACACTCCTCAGATCCTCATTATTGCTGTTTGACAAGGACTGGGTCAGACTGGGTCCCTGTGAACTCGGACCCAAGGACCCTTAGTCAGTTCAGAGGCTCCCTGTGACTTCTGCCCCAGGGACCCTCAGTCAGGGTCAGATGGTCCCTGAACTTCTGACCCAGTCTTTTTTTTTTTCAAAAGAATTTTCAAGAAATTAAAAATTTTTTTTTTTAATTTTTTTGAAAAAAATTTCTCGAAATTTTTTTTGAAAAAAATTTCTCGAAATTTTTTTTGAAAAAAAAAAAAGACTGGGTCAGAAATTCGGGGACCCTCTGAACCTGACTGAGGGTCCCTGGGTCAGAAGTCACAGGGACCCCCTGAACTGAC